GATGCCATCAGCACAGTTTACACTGTGTACAGACAGGAGAAGACTGTAACAAAGATCCTCAAGGCTCTTGCCAAGCATGAAAAGGAAGGAGGACACGCAATGTTGAGGTAGCTGCTGCTGGCTGGTTGATTGCTGCGTTGCTTCGACGTTGCTTTGCTTCGATTCGTTGCTTTGCTTCGACATTGCTTTGCTTCCATTCGTTGCTTCGATTCGGTTGCTTCGATTCGTTGCTTCCGTTGCTTTGGTTGCTGCGTTGCTTCGGTTGCTTCATTCATTGCTTCATTCATTGCTTCATTCATTACTTCGATTCATTGCTTCGATTCATTGCTTCTTCATTGCTTCGATTCGTTGCTTTGATTCGTTGCTTCGATTCGTTGCTTCGGTTGCTTCGATTCGGTTGCTTTGCTTCGATTCGGTTGCTTTGCTTCGATTCGGTTGCTTTGCTTTGATTCGTTGCTTTGATTTGGTTGCTTCGATTCGTTGCTTGCTTCCGTTGCTTGCTGCATTGCTTCMGTTGCTTCGGTTGCTTGCATTGCTTCGTTGCTTCATTGCTTCGGTTGCTTTGCTTTGCTTCGGTTCATTCTTGCTTTGCTTCATTGCTTTGCTTCATTACTTTGCTTCGTTGCTTTGCTTCATTGCTTCGATTCGTTGCTTTGCTTCGATTCATTGCTTTGCTTCATTGCTTTCATTGCTTTGCTTCATTGCTTCGATTCGTTGCTTTGCTTCGATGCGTTGCTTTGCTTTGCTTCGATGCGTTGCTTCGGTTGCTTTTCTTCAATAAAATAGTATTAAGTGTGACTGCTTTTTCTTCTTGTTAGTAGTATTGTTAGTAGTAACTGTGACTGCTTTGTTGCTTGATTGCCTCAACAAGAGGAGCAAGTTGAATAGCTGATAAGAAGATGGCRCCACCATTGTCATTGTTGTGATCGTCGGTTGTTGAGAATTACCTTCACGATTTGTGTTTTTTTCATAGAATTTGCCTTGTCGAAAATTGTGTCAGATTTTCTAATCAACTGACACCCATCAGTTGGGGGAGGGATTTCGATACTGTGCTGGTGAGTAGGATAATAGCGAAGTGTACGTACGTAGACTTGTACATGATTCTCTACTGTTGCATTTTTTGTTGCATTTCGTATTAATACCTTCACAGTACTGTAGAAGATAAGATCTCCACCAGCTACGTACGTACTGTACAGTACTGTAAGTTATTTTGTTCGAATTGATGCCAATGATTCACCTGTTGGGGTTCGTACTCATACTCGTACGTACCGGTAGAATTGTTCGAAGACGATGAAATGAAGCACAACCGTAGATCCTTGTTATCGAAAAGAGAAACAGCGATCTCAGTCTAAACGTTTGTTCGCAAACCGAGGCGATGTTAGCCTCGAGAGCATCGGCATCATTTCATTCTCAAGTCGTGGTTATTGGAGCTGGGGTTTTTGGTCTTGCTGTGACACGAGCGCTAGCAAAGGCGGGGAAGGAAGTTTTGCTCCTAGAGAAAGCCTCTCATATATGCACGGAAACCTCTTCACGCAATTCTGAGGTGATCCATGCGGTAAGTCGAACCTAGTATCACAATTTTGTTTCTTCTTGTTGGCAACATTGCGCTTGGCCACTCCTGGAAGAAATCGATTTTTCTCATGAAGTTCGAAATCGAATTTCCTTGCATTTGGTTCTGCCGTGTTCATAGGGACTTTACTACCCCCCGGATTCAGCAAAGGCAAAATTCTGTGTAGAAGGAAAACAATCATTGTATCAGTACTGTGAGGAACGCGGGATTGCCCATCGAAGATGTGGGAAACTTGTTGTAGCGACAAGCAAACGCCAGTTGGCTGAGGAGCTTCCATTTTTGCGCGACCAGGCTTTTCGAAACGATGTCACCGACATTCGTCTGCTCTCCCGCGAAGACATTCAAGTCCTAGAACCCGCTGTAGAATGCTTTGGAGGGCTATTTTCGCCCTCTACCGGCGTGTTAGATTCCCATTCGTTTTACACTAATTTGTTGGCCGACTGTGAGGACGGTGGTGCAACCGTCGTGTTGCATTCCGAGGTGAACGGTGCCGATCTTGTCGATGGCAAGCTTTGTTTGAGTGCAGACGGCGCTTTGTTGAGCGCGGATACGATTGTCAACTGCACTGGATTGCACGCGTACGAGGTTGCGTCGAAACTCCACCGCCGCGAAAGCGAGCACGATCCACCAACGCCGCCGGCTTGCCCTTGGCAACCACCAAGGCACTTTTTCGCAAAAGGAACGTATTTCCGGCTGGACGGAACGTCGCCCTTTCGCCACCTAATATATCCTGTGCCAGAACCTGGTGGCCTCGGCATTCACGCCACTATAGACTGGAGTGGAACCGGGACCAAGTTTGGCCCGGACGTCGAATGGCTCGATTCTGACACTCGTCCGGGCGATATCAATTACGACCCCGATCCAGCTGCCGTCGATAAATTTGCCGTAGCGATAGAAAAATATTATCCCGAGCTTCCCCGCGAAAGACTCCAGCCAGACTATGTTGGTGCGTAACATTTCTACAGATGCGCAGTGGAACACAACGAAGTATCGACAACTTTTGGATTTCTTTTCATCTTTTTTTTTAAACAAAAACACTCACTGCTTTCTCATTTCCATCACCGTGTCGCTCCGAAATGTTTTCCCAAAGGAGTGCGGCCTAAGTTAAGACACCCATCAATAGTACCAATTTCGACGTGTACTCCATCGACACCATCTAAAAACGTCGCATTTGATGACTTTTTGATCGTCGAGAAAACCGTTGCCAAATCTCAAATCTTTCATTTATTTGGTATCGAGAGTCCCGGCTTAACAAGTAGCTTGGGCATTGCCGACTATGTAAAGCGAGCAATTGGTTGATGTCAGCGATCAAACAGAACCAGTCTATTGGGCTGGTTCATCGACGTCTGGCCCCTGCGACGTTTATAGATATGCTTGTGTTTGGAAATACTTGATGGGTAACGTTTATGGACATACTAAAACAACAATGACCCACGGTGTACTGGCTAGTAACTAGGAAACGGTAGATTGTTTGGACCGGATTCAGAATGAATTACGCCACTATGGATTCGGGCACCACAACCCGTATTGTACAAGTAGACCCATTCAAAATTAATATTCGAAGATTGCCCCAATACATGGCATTTGCCTCCGCTGTAGTCGATTCTATGAAGGTTTTTTTAGTGAATTGAGAGATATGGTAGTGGCAAGGCAAAGAAGGAGTTCAGAATCAAGATGGCATTACCACTGTAGTTGATTTTGATGAAGATCGTATTGTGTTGCATGCAAGGTTACCACCAAAATCTGAAATTCGTCGCTGCAATTAAAACTAAATCTGTACTCAAAAAAGGATCATCTTCTGCGTCGGGGAATTTTCAATCATTTTTCGAATCTTTTTCGTTCCTCAGTTTTTCCTTTCGTTTCTTCAGGATGAGGTGCCGCTGCGTTGAGATGAGGAAATACGAAATACGGTAGGTTCAATGAGTCAAATAAAGTGTTCTCCATTCCTTGGAAATATGAGCTCTCCATACAGCTCTAATAATCACGACGTCCTCACCGGAATTCTTTCCTCTTGCCCTCTATTGTAAAAAAATTACAACCTTTTCATTCCTATTCATCAACTGCAAACAGAAACCATGGTGGCCACTGTCACACTCCAAGGATGGCGGGCCTCGATGTTGACGCGATTCCGGTCCTGCATCACCTCCGTCCCAGCACACCGTGGCGCGGGCGCGAGGAAGCTACGCGTGGCCCCTCGATCCTTCTCCTCGTCGTCTCTGGTCCCAGAGAAGAACAAGATTGTCGACCTGCGGAGCGACACCGTGACGCTTCCGTCACAATCGATGATCCAGACGTCGCTGTCGGCGGCGCTCGGCGACGACGTCATGGGGGAGGACCCGACCGTTTTGGAACTGGAAGGATTCATGGCGGACAAATTCGGAAAGGAGAAGGGTCTATACGTTCCCACGGGTACCATGGCCAATCTCGTGGCACTGCTGAGCCACTGTGACAGAACGAGGGCATCGGAAATCATTATTGGGTCGGGGTCGCACATCAATTTGTGGGAAGGAGGGAATGCTTCGTCCATTGGAGGCATCCACACCCGACAGGTCAAAGAGGACGACGACACGGCAGAATTGCTCGAAGACGACATCCTCGATTGCGTGCGGCACGGGAGGGACGACCACTGGCCCGTGACGTCGCTCGTCTGTCTCGAAAACTCGCACAACATGTGCGGGGGCGTCGCGCTGCCCAAGGAGTACTTTGATCGGATAGGACGGCTGGCGCACGGCCCAAAAATGGGCAACGTCGGCGTGCACGTCGACGGCGCCCGAATCTTCAACGCGTCCGTGGCTCTGGGCACCAGCGTCGGGGACCTCTGCGAACACGTGGACAGCGTTTCCGTTTGTCTCTCCAAGGGCCTGGGTGCACCACTGGGAAGCGTTCTCGTCGGCGGGGAATCCTTCATCGAGCTGGCCAAGCGTGCCCGCAAGCGATGCGGGGGGGGCATGCGACAGGTCGGCGTGGTGGCCGCGATGGGCATGTTTGCCGTGGAACACAACGTAGAGCGCCTGGCAGAGGACCACGCCCGGGCCAGAAAGGTACGGAAGGCGACGAACAATCGATGGAGACATAGATGGATGGGTTAAACGCAGAGGCTGGTTTCCTTTTGATCCGTTCGTTCTCTCAAGAAGCACTCCATCTTGTTGTTTTCTCGCCTCTTTTTCACAGATTGGGCTCGCCCTGAAGGAATACGGCTGCTACATGTTTCGCGACGGAAAAATCGACACAAACATTGTGTATTTTGGGCTTCCGGAAACCGCCAACCTGTCCAGGAACGAATTTGTGGAACGCTTAAATCGAGACTACGGCGTCAAACTTACCGGTGGATACAGTAAGGGAGGAAAACTCTTTCGCATCGTGACACACTTGGACATCGACGACGAGGGTACAGATCGCACCATCGAAGCTATTGGCTCTCTCCTCGGTGCTTCGTCGTCGTAAAGATTCAGTTTTCGTTTTGACGAATGTGAGCTACCATTTTGTTGGGATTTTTCGTTCAGAATCACTACAAGCAACAGCCGGAGAAACACAAAGCGTTTTGCCGTACGAATCGTTAAAAATAATAGACGTACACATAGCTTTGTGAATGTCTATTGCAATTCATTCTTAGTTCTCTGTAGGTATCTGGCGCGATACGTATTTCTACGAATAACAATAGACAGTAGTAAATGGATTGCTTTACTTGTTATTCATCAAATTTCGAACCTATTTGGACTGAAAAAGACTGGGTGGTATTCTGGTAAAATCTCCATTTCTTCGAATGATTTTATCAGAAAACTATCGTCCTTGTCTGCGAACACATGATCTCCTTCGTCGTCGTCAACAAATGCAAGAGCATCACCGATGCCTTTTCCTTCCTGTAGTGAAAAAATGTCCTCAACACCCGTGGGTGAATCTCCTCCCCCGAAGAGAATCCAACAGCCTTTACTGCCTGGTTTTGGGGTATTTCTGAGAACAATGTCTTCGAAAGAATCGTTGATGGTTTTCGAGTGTTTAGTTTGAACAGAAAGAGGCCTTCGTACTTGGAACTTTTGACCGGCATGGCCTCGGTTCCCTTTTTCTAGCAACGGTGCCGTTGATGATACAGTGAATCGGTTAGATTCCGATTGAAACGACATTTCGGACCACGCACTGTCATCTGAGGACTGCACTTGAATTTCACCGTTGTACCTTGGTCTGATGTCGTCGACAGAGGACGAGAAATAATCCGAAGTGAGAGAGATGTCATTAGTCAATGAAGAATCTGGTGATAACACTTCGTAGTTTGCGTCTCCTTTGGGTCGATTAAACGATATTTTATAGAATGGCGAAGACTTTGAAATCGACGCAGTCTCTTCCAAACGATAGGAATTCAGACACTGTTCCATAAATTGACTCTCGAGCGGACTTTTTTTCTCTCGAAATTTCCGAGAATGCGATATAGATCGTTTTCTTTTTTCCAGGAGCTTTTTCAAGCGCTTTGTTTCTCCACTGGACGTTAATACGGGCGCTGCTGACACAGGGGGTTGTGTGAGAGGATTGTGTTGTACCAATCTAACTATTGCCTCCGAATCAGATGCACCAAGCGTCGTTGGTTCGGAAGAATAATCTGTGCCAGTACTCGAAGACTGCAGTTCAAAGCTGTGTTGGTGCTGATACTTTTGTTCTCGAGCGTACCGAAGAAACTTAGCCTGCAAAGTCGCCTTTTTTCTTGCCCGCAACTTGTGGAGCGACGCCATACCCTTTTGTCCCAAGTTTCTTTCTCCTCTTTCCATTTCAAATCTTTCAACAAGCTGGTTCAACATCTTTTGCTTCGTCTTCGTTACATCAATTTTTTGCACAATTCTATCAAGCGCTCGTTCAATTTTCGGAAGATCGTAGTATACAATACCCTTCTTCACCAATGATGGTAGAATAGTATTCGTAGTGTCGATTTCCAGCTTCGCTCTGGTACTAGATTCGATCGATATCATATCCAAGTTTCGTTGCAGACTTTGCTCTTCGGAAGGATGATTAGCAAAGTCATTTTCACGAAACGTCGTTCCGTCATCGCAAGCACGATCCAAATGAGCTACGACTGAATCATAAAGATCGGGAGCGCGCCTACTGAGGAAAGACAGAGCTTGATCTTTCCTCGTAGGACTTTCCAGTATCGCAGAAAATCTTTCATCGTCAAGAAATTTTGGGTCGTTGCCGCTAAGCGATTCTCCTCTCAATTTCTTTTTATTTGATCTCCTACGAGCTCTCCTCTGTCTTATTTGTCGCACAGCTGTGTTATCGGCAATGGAGTCGCTAGAATCAGAGTCACATCGTTGTCGGTAACTCGACAATCTATTCATTTTAGACACCATCAACTCCGTGATCACGTCCTCGCTGTCTGTTACGTCGGATTCAGATTGATTTCTAGACGAGAACGAAGAAACGTCGTGATTTGATGTTATTGTAACTGCATCAATTTCTTCGATTCTGGTAGCTCGGTTAGACGCCGTTCTCTTCCGAGCGATGATTCCTTTCATACGATTGTATGCATTGTCAGACATGATGTCGTCCTTAAGGAGTGGAGTTTTCTTGTAACGACTACCGCTTTCACTTCCATCGTTCATATATCCACTATAAGTTGACTCTGATGTCATTGAATCGTTGATGCCGTCTCCGTTGGAATCCAAGAAATGATTTGCTGCACATTCTTGAAGGAGGTTCTCGAATTCCAAAAAAGACGCCGAGTCGTATGAACGGTTGTTCTCTGCAATCACATCTCGTGCATATTCCAAGAATGTGCTGATATCTGATTCTTCTGTGGATGGACAATCATCCCTCATCTCAACATGGGCGTACACATCATTCAGAATCTCATTCATGGCTTGCGTTGTCTCTGGGGATCACGATCCCACGGTTGCACTACGACACTTTGTTTGTCTATGGGGTAGAAGAGTTGTGAATCCAGAGACTATGTCTAGGTGCTACTTCGGTGGAAGGTATTTTAATAAAGGTTGAAGGTCATCTATGAATTCTGTCAGTATTGTATTCGTACCGTTTGTCGACAGATGAATGTAACAAATTGATGAAGTATCGTTTTTTGTATTACTTCGTATTTTAGCAATAACAGAAAGCATCAGTAATTTGCATAACAAAAAACAGCAAATAATATCGAACGAATCTAAATCTGAATTTGAATTTTCGACGGTAAAGTCTGTACTACAATTATCATTGAAATTATTCAAATACCAATATATATATATACTGTATCAAACTTATTTTTGGAGAATCTCAACACTTTTATGTTCCCCCCTTTTGGTCAATCCGTCGTACGTAAAGTACCCGCGAAAACGTACGATGTGGATGCGAAACATCTACTGTACTAGTAAAAATTACTGTACGAGTTCGGTGCTACGAGTTACTCGCCCGGTACAGTACGCAGAAAATGCCGGCTGCAATGAACTCAGCAATCAAGTCAAAATAATCCAACGATCCACAAGCCCGGCCCTGTAGAAAGTGCTAATACTGCTGTTACCACTGAAAGTACTCGTACCTTATTGAGTGGTAGAAGAGCAGTGAACAACAGAATATTCGAATACATGCCAATACTCCTCGCGGGATAGCTAGTGTCGCATTCATAATCTTTCCGCCATTGTGCAATCAGAGTTCTACAGCATCTTCCATTAGATAGCAACGTTACAGGGGAGGAGGAATCCATCACATTCGCTTCGATTCGATTTGAGATAGTTTGAAGTTAATCTGCAACCACAAAAATAAGGATGGACGAAGGACCAAATGATGAGGGGGTCACACCGCCTCCTCCGCCCGGCATGAGTCCTCCTCCTCCCCCTGGAATGGGTCCTCCGCCAGGTATGGCACCTCCTGGTATGGCACCACCGGGTATGGGACCACCGGGTATGGGACCACCGGGTATGGGACCACCGGGTATGGCACCACCGGGTATGGCACCACCGGGTATGGCACCTCCGGGTATGGCACCACCTGGTATGGGACCACCGGGTATGGCACCTCCGGGTATGGGACCTCCGCCTGGTATGGGACCTCCGCCTGGTACTATCCCTCCACCACCACCTGGTATGGGACCTCCGCCTGGTACTATCCCTCCACCACCTCCGGGAATGGGTCCTCCAGGCATGATCCCTCCAAACCAGGAGCAGAATTTTCCTCCGCCTCCCGGCATGTTTTCTGCAGCCCCTGGAATGGGCCCGCCGCCGCCACCACCCGGAATGGGTGCGGGCTTTCCTTTTGATGCAAACACGATGGACGATCGCGAAGAAAAGGCGAAACGCTGGGATGAGATGCAATCCGAAGAATACAATGAACCCAAAAAGATGGGACCTTTTTCGGCCCCTCAAAAGGAAATCATGCCTGCAGACTTTTTGCGAAAAATTTTGCAGGATCACGGCGACATGTCGAGCAAGCGATATCAATCCGAGAAACGACTCTACCTGGGAGCCCTCAAGTACATGCCGCACGCACTGTACAAGCTACTGGAAAACATGCCAATGCCTTGGGAGTCTTACAAAGAAGTCCCGATTCTATTCCATATCACCGGTGCCATTTGCTTCGTGGATCAAGTCCCAAAGGTCATAGAACCCGTTTATCGGGCTCAATGGGGTACAGCATGGTTGATGATGCGGCGTGAGAAACGAGATCGACGACATTTCAAGCGGATGCGATTTCCTCCTTTTGACGACGAGGAACCCCCGCTGGACTACGTGGATCATCTGCTGAACGTAGAGCCGGGAGAAGCTATCCAACTGGATCTCGACGATCCTCAGTACGATCTGATTCGAGACTGGTTTTACGACCAACAACCCCTGAGTGATGTACGGGACAACACCGAGGACGAAATACTGAAGCATGCGTGGGTGAATGGCCCAAGTTACAAGACGTGGCGATTGGATACTCAAATCATGTCACAAATGTTCGAGTTGGCGGAACCACTTCTAAACGCCTTTCCGGACAAGAACATTCGGTATAATTTCGATTTGCCTCATTTCTTGACCGCTAAGGCATTGAATGCAGCCATTCCCGGAGGTCCGAAATTCGAACCTTTGTTTCGGGATGTGGAAGAAGATGAAGATTGGAATGATTTTAACGACATTTCGAAAATCATTATTCGACAACCGATTCGAACCGAGTACAAGATTGCTTTCCCCAATGTCTACAACTCGAGACCACGCAAAGTCCGTTTGGCTCCATACCATTTTGTTCAGTCTTCGCACGTCATTGGTACAGACGAGGCAGACGAAGAGGATGGAATCTTAGCTTTCGAAAGCTACCCATCTCAGCTCAATCCTATTGTTCGAGTAGAGAAGGACGATTATAATCGCTTTTCCAGGAAAACGAATGATTTCAGTGAATTTGACGAGGATGACTTCAATATACCGTTGGTAGGAGAAACAGACGACGATGCACCAAATTATTGGATTTGTGATCAAGATTCTGATGAAGATGATACCTACCACTTTCCTTCGACTGGCGAACAGACTTCCACCAACAACACGAATGTCACAGTGGATCCGTTTTTGGCAGAAAAGCCTATTTCTACCCAAAAAACCACTCCGGGCATTGCACTCTATTCTGCACCTTATCCGTTCAACACAAGATCAGGCCGAACTAGGCGTACCATTGACGTTCCTCTTATTGGGCACTGGTTCCGCGATAGAGTGTCGGGTGACTTAAAATATCCGACCAAGGTCCGAGTGTCGTATCAAAAGCTTCTGAAGGCATGGGTACTGAATCAGCTACATTCTAGACCAGAGAAGCCAAAAAGTAAACGAACACTTTTTAAGAGCCTCAAGAGCACCAAATTCTTCCAGTGTACTGAACTCGACTGGGTGGAAGCTGGTCTTCAAGTGTGCAAGCAAGGACACAATATACTCAACCTTCTTATCAACCGGAAGCAGCTAAAGTATCTTCACTTGGACTATAACTTCAATCTGAAGCCAACTAAGACTTTGACAACGAAGGAAAGAAAGAAATCGAGGTTTGGTAACGCGTTCCACCTTGTAAGAGAAATTTTACGCCTGACCAAACTTGTGGTTGACGCACATGTGCAATTTCGGTTGTCGAACATTGATGCCTACCAACTTGCGGATGGCCTCCAGTATGCCTTTAATCACGTGGGACAACTGACAGGAATGTACCGTTATAAGTACCGCTTGATGCGTCAAATCCGAACTTGTAAAGATTTGAAGCATTTGATCTACTACCGCTTCAACACTGGGCCTGTCGGGAAGGGACCAGGAGTTGGATTTTGGGCTCCAAGTTGGCGTGTATGGATATTCTTTTTAAGAGGCATTGTGCCCTTGCTAGAGCGTTGGCTTGGAAACTTGTTGGCTCGACAATTCGAAGGTCGACTCTCGAAGTCGTTCGCCAAGAATGTGACCAAGCAGAGAGTTGAGTCACATTTTGATCTTGAATTGCGAGCTTCTGTCATGCATGACATTCTTGATATGATGCCGGCAGGTGTCAAGCAGAATAAGAGCCGTGTCATTCTTTCGCATCTCAGTGAGGCCTTTCGATGCTGGAAAGCAAACATTCCATGGAAGGTTCCCGGAATGCCGGCCCCAGTAGAGAACATGATCCTACGTTACGTTAAAGCGAAGGCAGATTGGTGGACTAATATTGCCCATTACAATCGAGAACGAATCAAACGCGGGGGTAGTGTTGATAAGACTGTGGTGAAAAAGAATCTGGGTCGATTGACTCGTCTTTGGTTGAAGGCTGAACAGGAACGACAGCATAACTACTTGAAGGACGGTCCATATGTGTCTGCTGAAGAAGCTGTCGCTATTTATACTACAACAGTCCATTGGTTGGAAAGTCGAAAATTCACACCAATTCCCTTCCCACCTTTATCGTATAAACACGATACAAAATTATTGATTTTGGCTCTGGAACGCTTGAAGGAGGGATATGGCCTACAAATCAGACTCAATAGTGCTGCAAGAGAGGAGCTGGCTCTGATCGAACAAGCGTATGACAATCCGCACGAGGCACTGAGTCGAATCAAACGGCACTTACTGACGCAGAGAACGTTCAAGGAAACTACGATTGAATTTATGGACGTAAGTAACAACACCATCTCACGAGTATGGAAGGAAATAGTTTGCCGTCGTGTTGACGGAGACAATCTCTCACTTCACTTTTACAATTGTCATTCAGATGTACCAATATTTATCTCCTGTGTATACGATTGAACCGTTGGAGAAAATAACGGATGCTTACTTGGACCAGTATTTGTGGTATGAAGCTGACAAGAGACATTTGTTTCCAAATTGGGTCAAACCTGCCGATTCTGAACCACCTCCGCTTTTAGTATATAAATGGTGTCAAGGGGTGAACAACCTTGAGAACATCTGGGATGTCGAAGAGAATGGCGAGAGTGTCGTGTTAATGGAGACAAAATACGAGAAGTTTTACGAGAAAATTGACTTGACCCTCCTGAATCGCCTGTTGCGATTGATCGTTGATCACAATATTGCCGACTATATGACAGCAAAAAACAACATCAGCATCTCTTTCAAAGACATGATGCATACCAATAGTTATGGACTGATCCGTGGCCTGGCGTTCTCGTCGTTCATAGTACAATACTATGGTCTAATACTCGATTTGCTACTACTTGGTTTGACCAGGGCAAGCGAAATCGCTGGGCCCCCTCAACGACCCAATGAATATCTCACATTTGCGGATATTGAAACGGAAGTAAATCATCCCATTCGAATGTATACTCGATACCTTGACAAGACATATATTCTCTTCAAGTTTGATGCAAACGAAGGAAAAGACATCATTCAGAGGTACCTTATTGAGCATCCTGACCCTAATAATGAAAATGCAGTAGGGTATCGAAATAAGAAGTGTTGGCCACGTGACTGTAGAATGCGGCTACTTCGAAGGGATGTCAATCTAGGCCGAGCAGTCTTCTGGGACATGAAAAATCGCTTGCCAAGAAGTGTAACAACCTTGGACTGGGACAATTCCTTCGTAAGCGTCTACAGCGCTGATAATCCAAACTTGCTGTTTGATATGTGTGGATTCGAAGTGAGAATAAATCCAATCAAAGCCATTCGACGTGATATTTTCACCGGTGGGCAAGTTGAAGCAAATGCAACAACCTATAAGGACGGTGTCTGGAATTTGCAAAATGAAACGACGAAAGAAATGACAGCTCAAGCACACCTACGTGTCGAAGACTCAGCTGTACAAGCTTTCGATAATCGAATTAGACAAATCTTGATGAGTAGTGGGGCCACAACGTTTACCAAAATTGCGAATAAGTGGAATACAGCATTGATTGGTCTCATGACTTATTATCGCGAAGCGGTGTTGAATACTCAAGAGCTTCTTGATCTGCTTGTAAAAAATGAGAACAAAATTCAGACTCGTATCAAGATCGGTTTGAACAGTAAAATGCCAAGTCGCTTTCCGCCTGTTGTTTTCTATTGTCCAAAAGAGCTCGGTGGCCTTGGTATGCTGTCCATGGGACATGTGCTGATTCCACAAAGTGATCTTCGTTATAGCAAGCAAACAGATATGGGGGTTACTCATTTTCGATCTGGTTTGAGTCATGATGCAGAGCAATTGATTCCGAACCGTAAGTAACCTGCGCTCGAACCTGTATGATTTTCTGTTCTTCGCACTTAACCTCATTTCTTGTTTCACTTTATTCGTGTGCTCAGTATTTCGATACTTACAACCTTGGGAGAGCGAATTTGTTGACTCTCAAAGAGTATGGGCAGAATACGCCTTGAAACGTCAGGAAGCAAATAGCCAGAATAGAAGACTAACTTTGGAAGATCTCGAAGATTCATGGGACCGTGGAATTCCCCGGATTAACACGCTTTTTAGCAAGGATCGTCATACTTTAGCCTATGATCGAGGATGGAGAGTACGCACAGAATTCAAACAGTACCAAGTTCTGCGAGTCAATCCATTCTGGTGGACACATCAGCGTCATGATGGAAAGCTTTGGAATCTAAACGCGTATAGAACAGATATGATTCAGGCTCTCGGTGGAGTTGAGGGTATTTTAGAACACAGTCTGTTCAAAGGAACCTACTTCCCGACGTGGGAAGGTCTATTCTGGGAGAAGGCTTCTGGATTCGAAGAAAGTATGAAGTTCAAAAAATTGACCAATGCTCAGCGTTCTGGTTTGACACAGATCCCAAATAGACGATTCACTCTTTGGTGGTCGCCAACTATCAATCGTGCGAATGTTTATGTTGGTTTCCAGGTGCAGCTAGATTTAACAGGTATTTTCATGCACGGAAAAATTCCGACTCTGAAGATTTCTTTGATTCAGATCTTCAGAGCGCATCTTTGGCAAAAAATTCACGAGAGTATTGTAATGGATATTGCTCAAGTCTTTGACCAAGAGCTCGATTCATTGGAAATCGAAAGTGTCCAGAAGGAGACGATTCACCCTCGGAAGTCTTACAAAATGAACAGCAGTGTTGCAGATCTGGTTTTGTTCGCTGCGTATAAATGGCCAGTTTCAAAACCTAGTCTTTTGCATGACACGAAGGACGATTATGATGGGAGTACATCCAACAAGTTTTGGCTTGATGTACAGTTACGCTGGGGTGATTTTGATTCTCACGATATTGAACGATACTCTCGTGCAAAATATCTTGATTATACAACAGACAATATGAGCATTTATCCATCGCCGACCGGTTGTCTTCTTGCTGTGGATCTGGCTTACTCGTTGTACAGCGGATTCGGAAACTACATTCCAGGAGGTAAGCCTCTTCTACAGCAAGCGATGGCAAAGATCATCAAGGCAAATCCTGCACTCTATGTTTTGCGAGAAAGAATCAGAAAGGGTCTCCAGTTGTACTCAAGTGAACCAACCGAACCATATTTGAGTTCTCAGAATTATGGCGAACTATTCAGTAACCAAGTCATTTGGTTCGTAGACGACACGAATGTCTACCGGGTGACTATACACAAAACTTTTGAAGGAAATCTTACAACGAAACCTATTAACGGTGCAATCTTCATTTTTAATCCAAGAACTGGTCAGCTTTTCCTCAAAATCATCCATACAAGTGTATGGGCCGGCCAAAAACGTCTGTCACAGCTTGCCAAGTGGAAAACTGCTGAGGAAGTCGCTGCGCTCATTCGGTCGCTTCCTATCGAAGAGCAACCAAAGCAAATTATTGTCACGAGAAAAGGGATGCTTGACCCATTGGAAGTGCATTGTCTTGACTTCCCTAACATTGTTTTGAAGGGTTCCGAATTACAGCTTCCTTTCCAAGCTGCTTTGAAGGTTGAGAAGTTTGGAGATCTCATATTGCGGGCAACTGAACCTCAGATGGTTCTATTTAATATCTACGATGATTGGTTGAAATCAATTTCTTCATACACAGCCTTTTCACGTCTAATTCTAATTTTGAGGGGACTTCATGTCAACGTCGACAAAGTGAAGCAAATTTTGCGTCCGGATAGAACTGTTGTCACGGAACCACATCACGTTTGGCCAACTCTCACAGACGAGCAATGGATCAAGATCGAAGTTGCTTTGAAGGATTTGATTCTTGCCGACTACGGGAAAAAGAACAACGTAAACGTATCAAGTTTGACTCAAAGTGAAATTCGGGACATTATTCTGGGTATGGAAATTGCTCCTCCTTCTGTTCAGCGTCAACAAGTGGCCGAGATTGAAGCCCAAGCGCGTCAACAATCGCAAATGACCGCGACCACGACAAAAACAACCAACGTACATGGGGAACAGATTGTTGTTACTACTACCACTCAGTTCGAGCAAGATACGTTCCAGAGCAAGACTGACTGGCGAGTGAGAGCAATAAGTGCTACAAATCTATATCTACGAACCAAACATATTTATGTTTCTTCGGAGGATATTTCTGAAGATGGCCTGACGTACGTGCTACCGAAAAATATTCTTTCGAAATTCATCACCATTGCGGACCTTCGAACACAGATTGCCGGTTATCTTTATGGTGTGACTCCCGATGATAATGACCAGGTGCGAGAAATCCGTTGTATCGTCATGGTTCCCCAGGTTGGAAATCACCAGAGTGTTACAATGCCGAAGAAACTTCCCGACGATCCATTATTGAACGACCTGGAACCTCTGGGTTGGATTCACACGCAGCCCAATGAATTGATTCAAAATGGGACGCAGGTCCTCCCAGCTCCTGACGTCGTGACCCACGCCTCTATAATTAGTGATCATCCCAACGCATGGACTGGAAAGAATGAAATCGTCTTAACAACATCATTTACTCAGGGATCGTGTTCTCTCACTGCGTACCGTGTGACAGATCATGGACTTGAATGGGGCAAGAAGAGTAGAAACGTTGCAGGAGGTGTGGCTAACGCACAAGATTATTCATCGAACTGCTTCGAAAAGGTGCAGATGTTACTCAGTGATCGATTCAAAGGATTTTTCATGGTCCCACGCGATGGACTCGGATGGAATTACAACTTCCAGGGTGTGAAACATAATGTGTCGATGGATTACACGCTCAAGATGGATACTCCCGAGGCATTTTATGCCGAATGTCATCGACCGCAGCATTTTCTTTCGTTCGTACAGATGGAGGATGGGGATGCAAATGAAGGCGCCGACATCGAGGACGCACTATCTTAAATTCAACTTCGTACTAGATATATTTATTATTTCAATCAAGATAATTCTACTAGATATGGTGGCACTTATTGGAAGATACAGAGTTATGGAGGAACAAACGGTAGACCGGTTCAGCTCTGGGGAAATGATAGGAAATAGGAGTACTTACAAAATTACAGTATGGTAGTTCTTAATATTTGCGGTGCACTGACCAGGAATCAATTTTGGAATTGATTTTGACAAACAGCTGAATTCCTGTTGCAGGGTTCTACAACTAATTGCACAACCATGGATGATCTATCACAAGCCTAATTAAAGCAATCTTTAAACTTGGCCATTGTGTTCAACCACTGACACACATCAATATGACCAGCACTCTTCTCTCCACAGGAATTCTGCCATTTCTACTTGTGCAAAAAAAATCTCCATACACCCCCAGCAGCTTTACTAGTATTAGTAGTAGTGAATCAAAACTAGCAGTGCACATCATGTTTCAACAGGCCTGCCTGTTCATTAGCCTAGGTTGATCCTCACCAGAACAAATTGGATTGAACAAAAAGGAGTTTGAGAATTGCCCCCAAATCAAGTGTGGAGGAGTAGTAGGACACCAAGAAAGTATCATGTGTACTAGGTGCTTCTTGTACTACTACTAGTAGTAGTACTAGTACTACTAGTAGTAGTAGTACTAGTAGTAGTAGTACTAGCTGTCTGCACTAGTACTAGTAGTAGTAGTATCTGCAAAATGGCAAGAGAGCGGTGCTATTAGATTTGAGATTCTACTACTAGTAGTAGTAGTATGGTTGATGTAGCTTGCTGCTCCTCTTCAAGAAACTACTAGTACTGGAGCATAGTTAGTATGGGACAATGGAAACACAAATTACTGAAGGGTAGTACTAACGTGTTCATGGATTTTCAGCAATGAACTGGTCTCATCGCTGATTGGAAATGCGAGATTTGCGGATTTTAGTCCTTCGTACTCGTACTAGCTTCACCGTAGGGGCGGGGAGGTCCGTGGTCGACGCGTTGAAAACTCGGAGTACTGTATCGTGTTCGGCAGAAATTGTCGTGCGTACTGTACTTTCTAATGATAAAACGCGAAGGAGAACACACTATCCACTCTTTGTAGCCTAGAGAGAAAAATTGCAGGACAATGAATCTCTCGGGGATGAAGCTTTGCGGGTGCATCGCTTTGCTGCCGTCGTCTACGTTGGCGTTCTTTCTCAAGAATCTGGCACGGAGCGAGCCCAGAAACAGCGCGTTGCTTCCGGAGCTGGAACGCCTGATCGCGGCGTCCGATTCCGGCATCGATGGCTCGTACGAAGAAAGCATCAAGGACACGATGGTCGAGATCAGCAAATCGCGCGAGGGAGACCAGCGCGAATCCCTGCCCGGAAGGTGGGAACTCATTTTCACGACGGAAAAGGAGGTCAACTTTTTCAAGACGTCCTGGCCCTTTGCAGAGGTCTCTCTCATCACCCAGCGATTGGATATAACGGACGAGAAGTTTGTCAACAACGTCATCGGATTCAAAGGGGGTGCCGAATTCGCCGTGACGGGTTCTGCGGGCCCGGTGGACGGAGACGACGAGTACGATCGCGTAGCGTTTGAGTTTACCAGCGCGAAAGCTGTTGTTTGGGGGGTAGAAATCTCTCTTCCTCCGCTTGGCACGGGCTGGTTTGATACGATGTATTGCGACGACACCTATCGATTGAGCCGCGATTCGAGGGGAGACTGGAGCGTCTTTAAGCGAATAGGTTAGCATTAACTTTTAAGAACCTTCGCAACCGACACTAAACCCAATAGTAGGATTTTCGAAACAATGGTCCAAAGCATAGCACCCTGAAGAAGTTGTCATTTCCGGAGCATCTACATAGAAAGTTGAAGTGCCAGGCATGCATTAAAAATAAGAATCGCGGGTGAAGTGGATGATTCTGTATTGTAAAAATAGTATGAATGCTGCACTCTCGAAAGCTTTCCGTTGTGCAGTGAAAAGTACTATTATTTGGATATCCAGCAGCTGGCTGCCATTCCTTTCGCTCGTCAGGCAAGATCTACGGGTTGCATTTCATCGTCCGCGACACCCCGTAACTGCGTTCGGTCCAATCCTTGTATGTAGGATTCCAACCTGTGGTGCTTCAGCATGCTCATACTCAGGAGCACGTCGTGCATCGACCAGAGCAGGGATTCCCGCAGAGCTTCCCTTCCCCCCTTTTTCAGGTTCCCCACCTCGTGGATGCTACAGATGCATCCCAGTCGCCGCGGTCGCACAAGGTATGCCCTCCCCGGAATGGCTAGCTTCTCTTCTTCGCCCTCGCTTCCGTGGGCATGGCTCTGCAACCCAGACACGGTCATGCTCATGGTGTCCGATACCCACCCCAGCTGCTTGCCAATAAAGCCGCTGTGTAGGTTTCTTTCTATCCTTTTCACCAGTCGCCCGATGCTCTCTTTGGTCGTCCTGCAGAGAATGTCATCGCCGTAGACAAAAGATGTGCAATAGGCAGCAACGACGTTGCTCGACAGGCACGGCGGGGATCCCAGGGTCAGAGCCGAAGCCCGAGCTCTTCCAAGGCCGTTGAGTGGTTCGAGGGGAACGTCGTCTTCTTCGGAATCTTCCCCTCCTGGCTCTCCTTCGGAGCCTCCTTCGGAGCCGTCGTCGTTTGGCGAATCATCCGGGAGTTCCTCTTCGTCAGATGCTGGCTTCTTTTTCTTTCGTTTCCCCTTGCTGCCGCTGGCTCTGCCCTTGGATCGTTTCTTCGGCATCGGAATACTCCCATCGAAGATTGTGGCAGCCAGGCTAGCCACTCCACCCGCTAGCGAATGGCCGACAAAGTGCACCGCAGAGGCGTTGTATTGGCGCAGCTGCGGCTCCAACAAAGTCAGAAGTTTCCCTGCCTTCTTGTAGAGCGTGGGCTGTACCGATGCCACTTCGTTTGTGACGAGACCACTAGATAGCTTTATCTTCTTGGGAGTCTCGTCCAGTATCTCGATTTTCTGTGGGACGGTGAGAGACGAGCTATCGCCCAGGACGACCAGCAATCGCCCCCTCCCCGCCGCTGTCTCCGCCGGTCGTGTCAGAGACTGAATGGTGCCGTGTTCCAATCCGATTCCTCCGTTGTACAGGGGTTCGTAAATGACCAAAACCGACAGGGAGAGATCCTTTTCGTCGCCGGACCGCCGCCCCCCTGCCTCGTCGGACGCCGCAAGCGTCGTGTTGAGGACAACTTCTTTTTCTCGCAGCACTTCGTCGCCGCCCTCTTCGCCCCAGACCAGCTCGGGGCGCTCGGCGACCTCCACCAGCTCGCACGCGTACAGGGCCTCGGCAACCGCTGCCAGCCGCGCCGCGCTGCGCTGGGCTCTGCCGGAAACCGAAACGTCGTGGACATCGTCTGCCGAGTGTGTCCTCTGGTACGCCTCGTGGGCGGCACCGTCCAGGCCCTTGAAGGTCTGCTGGTTGGACGCCAGCTTGGAAAGCACCCTGGTCAGCCTGGAAATCGAGGGCGGATCGTCGCGATCCCGTGCATCCGCGTCTACCTTGTTTTGGACGATTCTCGCCAGTTTTTCGTAGGGAAGGTTGGAGGTCGACGCAGTCGCCCCCGCGGCGGTCGACCGAATGATCCCGGATCCTCCCGGCCCAGAATGGAGTTGTGTCACCACCAAGAATCCGACCAGGATGAAACCAGAAAGAAATACTTCGAGTGGACTCCGATTGCGCCGCTGGCAGTTGCGAACGGAAGATCCCGTGGACGACCTTGGCAACTCTAGTGTCTTCATCGCGCTTCTCGTATTCGTTGAATTATCGTGTTATAGTGTGCTGTCGGTTTGGTTTGTCATTTTCGAACTTGCCGTTGTCGAGTTCACGATTCACAACATTGTGGTTTGGTTTGTTTTCTTCCACGTGATCAGTGATTAGAGGGGGAAACAGAATCATCTCAATTCAAGAAAGCTAGCATGCCATACTACGGTACAGTAGAGTAGTACGAACTACGAGTACTCGTACTCCCACTCGTACGTAAATTACCCGTACCGGTACATAGTTTTAAAAAATGCATCGGAGGTCTTAGGCTACCCCCCGGTACCGTACCTGGTACGTTAAGGAAGGTACGGGTTTCGTAGACGACGTAGGTACATATCGTACGTACGGTACCTGTACTGTGCGAGAGGAAGTTTTGAAAAAGATCTCGACAAAGAAGTCATGGCCAACAATTCCCCTGTTTCGTTTCTCTCTCAACCCCCTTTTCCCACGCAAACGCTGCTTCCAGTCCCACACGACTGTGCGGAGCTGACACAAAACAGACGCCAACAGTAACAGATGCTAGGACGGTTTGACCGCTGATGCTAGTAAAAACGTGTTCATTCGATCGTTTCGTGATGTTGCGAACCATCGAAGAATCAAAGAACATTCCGTTATTTGAAAGACGAGAAAAATGAGGTCCATCATCACCGCAAACCAAACGACAAAACGCAAATACCGGAGCTACTGCCGTACGTACGAGTACGTACCGTTCCGTTTCTACCAGTAATGATAGTTCTCATCTTCGTAACAAACCGTTACGAGAACTACTACGAACTCAGCGAAAACTACAAATACAACCTCATCAGATAGAATCAGCAACCAAGGAAAATCCATCGTGTCATCATCTCGTCTTGTTCTCGATCTAGTCATCCGTGTATCCTTTGAAAGAATAGGTCTAGAAGAAACAACAGCGCTGCCAAGTTTACAAATAGATTTACAAATAGATCCACCGCACCAAAGAAGCCAGAACTAGAATCAATCGGAATGTACGCAGAAAGGAGGATGACTGCCACGACCAGAGCATCGCTCGTGGCGCTGCTGTCTCTGGTATGGACCTCCCGATTGCACCGGCCGTGCGAGGGCTTTGTCCCGGCCGGTCGGAATGGGGTTGCGACTAGGTCGAGGCTTTACGTGATATCCTCTCCCCCGCCGCCACCAGCGGGTTCGTCTTCCAGAACAAGCGACGACGAGGACGAGAACGAACACGGGGCTCTCTTCACGCTCGACGAGTCCTCCGCCGGGGATTTCTTTCAGGTGGACGAGGAGAAAGAAGCACTCCCACCGATGTCCGATCGCCCGCTCCCGGAATACACCAACACGCCAGAGCCCATCCAGGAAGCCGGTGGTATCGCTGCCGAGGACGAGGACGACCTGTCGTTCTTTTATCGAGACGAAGACGATATGCTCACGGAACGCGAGGATCGATTGTACACCGACGAAAAGGGGATCCGGCGAGAGATCGAGAAATGCATCCTCGTCGGCGTAGAAGACCTGGCGGCGCAGCGCCGGGCCAAAAAGGCAGAACTGTACTACGACCCGCTGGACTCTGGAGCCGAGGCACCCATTTTTTCTCTCGAAGAAAGCATGATCGAAATGAGAGAACTGGTCCGGACAGCGGGAATGAGCCTCGAGGGGGAAATCGTCCAGAGACAAAAAGAAGTCAACCCAAAAACCTACATCGGATCCGGAAAGGTCGAGGAGGCCCGGGCGCTCATGGACGAACACGATGCCTGCACCATCGTGTTCGATGCGGAACTGAGCCCCGGCCAGCAAAAGACGCTGGAAAAAATCTTCAACCGAAACGCGCTGCAGAACGATTTCCTAGGGGAGGACCAGGAAATCAAGGTCGTTGACCGCACGGCACTCATTCTAGATATCTTTGCGCAACACGCCAAGACGAGGGAGGGAAAGCTGCAGGTCGACCTGGCGCTGCACGAATTCCGAAAGCCACGACTCACAAAAATGTGGACCCACTTGGAGCGCCAGTCCGGTGCGGGAGGGGTTGGTTTGCGGGGTCCCGGTGAGTCACAGCTAGAAATCGATCGACGTCTTGTTCGGGATCGCATCATCGTGCTCAAGAAAAAGATCGACGACATCCAAAAACAGAGATCGATTCATCGACGGGGCCGACAACGAACGGGACTTCCGCTCTTGTCGCTTGTCGGGTATACAAACGCCGGAAAGTCCAGTGTTCTCAACAGTCTGACAAGGGCGGGTGTGATGGCAGAAAGCATGCTGTTTGCAACGCTGGATCCAACTACGCGCAAAGTCAAGCTTCCGGGCGAGTCCGCCCACCCGGAATTCCTCTTGACCGACACCGTAGGATTTATCCAAAAGCTTCCGACAAACCTTGTCGCGGCGTTTAGGGCCACCTTGGAAGAAGTAGAAATGGCCGATGTCCTAGTGCACGTCATCGACGTGGCCAATCCGTCTTGGGAAAAACAGGAGCGGGCGGTTCGTTCCGTTTTGTCCGAGATGGGCGTGGGAGACAAGCCCGTCGTAAGGGTCTTGAACAAGATCGATCTCCTGGACGAGGATGAGGCCGAAATGCTAACATACGAGGCGGCTTTTTCGGATGATACGGTGGCCGTGTCGGCTCTGACGGGCGAGGGGATGGAAGATTTTGTTGTGGCCGTAGAGGAATCCCTGAATTCGCTTCTGGCTCCGATCGAGCTCGTAATTCCTTACAACAAGGGACAGGAGCTGAGCATCATTCACGAACAAGGAGTTGTGGAGACAATAGATTACCGTCCCGAGGGAACCTATGTGCTCGGCAGAGCTCCTCCCGCCGTTGCGAACCGATTGCAGATGTACAGCATGGCAGACAGCGCGACCGGAGACGACACGCAGCAATCTACGAATACGAAAGCAACAGCGGACACCGACGACGAAATCGATTGGGTCGCTCTGGGTCGTGGACGTCACGGTCAAGACTAAGAATATTAGAGAGGCTAAGTAGCTAAAACAATATAATATCAGTAAACTAGTACGAAGTACAACATTTCACAGAGGCAGAAACAGAATTTTGTAGAAAACACGCAAAATAAGAACAATTGAAAAATCGATGCGTTTTCTTCAGTTGTGGGTTCAAAAGAACTATCAGAACAAACGATGCTTTTGATGACTTACCAGTACCTCCCCCTCCCACCTCCACAACGGAATAAGGGTCGAATGTGAGTCTTGAAGTATTGTTTGTCATGACTTGTCTGGGATGTAAGAGGTACAAGCTTCAAAGATATGATTTTTCTAGCAGAACAAAAGAGAGGCGAACCCTACTATCATGTCAGGGGAATCATACATCAACCCTCAGAAGTTTTTTCTACTAGTAGTAGGAAGAAAAGATTGAGAAGCTTCTTTTCTGCCAAAAGCTACTAGAGGGACACAATGGAGCCCTATCAAGAAAGATTCATATGAATACCTCTTCCTACTGAAGGTTGCAGCATAGTTTCAGTGCGAAGAAAAAACAGAATTTAAAAGATGAATTGAAGTGCTGTTTCCACCAGCAAATAAATGACTTGGAATGCAATACAAGTTTCATACTACTACTATTGTCCACGTCCATAGTCAAAACTTGCATTGATTGATTTGAAAGGCATAGTAATTACTTCAAAAACAATGTCAATTGTGAGCATTAAACTCTTGGTATAGTACCAGTACTCTTAGTGCAAAACTCACAAGAAGCTACTAGTAGTCGTAGTAGAAGTACAACAACAAATACCATTCTACAAATAGCAATGCAGACCATGATAGAAATTGAAATTCAGTAATGATTGCCATTCTGTACATTTTTGGATTGGGATGAAACCAGGATCCCCATAGATATCTCAATTGATTCATAAGTCAGGTTGTTCCTTGATCATCCCTTCCTCCTGTCACTGCTGTTACTATGACTAGTACTGTTACTAGTAATACTGGTACCGAGGTGAAACTCATCATAGTAGCACTGGCTTCTAGTAGTACTGCTATGATTAGTAGGAGTAGTAGTAGTGTGGAAATTATGTTCATTTTTCAAAAGTAAAATAATACCACAAAAATCCATTTGATATCCAACAAAATGTTTTATTCAGAATCAGCATTCAAAACTGGGCTAGACTGGCTGCTCAAACATTACTAAAATGGTAATATTTTTGATAACATTGTAACTGCTTGAAGTTTAGTTTGTTTTAGTAGTAGTGTTAGTATGCAGTAAAACTGAGAATCCTGGGGTGACTTTTTGGAAATTTTGACCACTCATGGAATACTACACAGGTTTGAGACTGCAAATTTGCAATTGAGTACAAATTTAGTCCCTTACATGTTAAATGTATGTAATAAACTGCACAATCTACAGTGCAAGTACAAATATAATTGTGGTGTAAAAAAGCAACAAAAAATCAGATTAAGATCTAGTTTCTGGTACAATTTATCTTAACATCCTGAACATTGCTGTACTGGTAGTACTAGTACAAAGTGAATTTTTAATCCCACAAGTCATTACACACCAGTAATTAGTAGATGGTGGCCCAAAATCCAAGCACAGTAGAAAAACACATAGAACATCAACAGAGGTTCAACTCACTTGAACAGCTATATCTTTGTCCCCAGCCAACGGACGCTTAAGTATGGTAAGCACATGGTTAAAAAGAGAATTAAAAGAGCTTTCTAATGCTGTGGGGAGTAGGGTGTAAGATAAGTATTGATCGATACAAATGTACGTATGATATCTAGCATTGCTAATTTACGACTGCTGGGTTGTCTTTTTTTGCTTGGCCCACTCTATACAATAACTACTACGGGTAAAACAACAATTGAAATTACGTTTATTGAGGCATTGGGAATGTTACTAATTTAACATTCCTCCAAATGTTAGCAGCTTAGGCTATGTAGAAATGTGTAGAACTAGTAGTATGCTGGTTTTTCTTGCTTCAATTTAATGTCCTGAATGCTCTGCTTAACAGTCTGAATGTTAGCAGGAAGAACAAAGGACATCCTTTCCGCCCTTCCTGGATTTTAGGGCCGGGGGAGGAGGTACTAGTACTAGTACTACTAGTAGTAGTACTACTACTACTATGTGACGTACTACTACCACTACTACCACTACTACTACTACTACTACTACTACTACTACTACTACTACTACTACTACTACTACTACTACTACTACCACTATTACTACTACTACTACTACTACTACTAGTATGTACTACTACTACACTACACGGTATGAAGTACTGTATGGTACGTACTATGGTGGCATGGTGGCTGATCGCACGAGAGAGATGACCTCGCAACGGTCATCTACGGGGATCGCTATTGAGCGTTAAAAACAAAAAATCCTGAAATCTATCTMGTTTGTCGCTTGCATCGGTGCGACCCTCAACTGGCGAATGCCTTTCAAAGCACTTACTCTCCAACAATTAGTAGTAAAACAGAAGCCAATCCACCAATAAAGAGCGCACGGAAGCGAGCTGTGTACCTTTGTAAATTGATTCATTGGACAGAACACACACAGTACACAGTATACAGTACTTCATAAAGCAACCATGTCCTCGGCAAGGCGACCTGGAGCAAGTGCCAGGAAAAAGGGTGCATCTGCATTCGCATCGGGTGGATCCGCGAGGCCCTCCTCCAGACCGACCTCGTCGTCCTCCTCCTCATCCAGGCCCCACACCTCGTCCTCCTCATCCAGGCCCTACACCTCCTCCAGACCGACTAGCTCGTCTACTTCCAGACCGACCAGCTCTTCTTCTTCTAGACCAACCTCCAAGTCGCAACACAAATCCTCGTCTTCGGGCTCGGGTCCCAGGAGAGGAAGTGGGAGGACCAGCAGAGAAGCCCACGTCCCCGGGGGCGCCAAGCAAGAACCCCAGCGGGGCCTGATGGAAATGGTTCACAAACGATTCACGGAGGATGTTTTTAATACCGCTGCAAGTGAGTGAAAGACAATCAAAACCAACACAAGGGAACGAATCGTTGCTGTTGTAGATTAGATTTGCAGATGCAGTGTTGGGTTTGGTTTATGGTGTGTTTTCTGATGTATTCTCATGCGTTTGTTGCAATGTTCTCGAACAATTTCTATTCCAACGCAAATCTTACTCATTGTGCGCACAGAAGCTCACCCTGGGTGGAAAGTATTGATCGTCGATGAACCGGGTATGAAGGTGGTTTCTTCAGCTGTTGGAATGTACGACATTATGGAACAGCAGGTCTCGGTTGTCGAATCCCTTGAAAAGAAACGGGCGCCTTTCAAACACATGGGAGCAGTTTATATTATATCCCCTACCCAGGATAGCATCCGGCGTTTGTTGGAGGACTACGAAGACAAAAAGAAAGTCCTTTATGGGGATGCCGTCTTTCTTTACTTTTTGGCGCCCGTTCCAAAAATTTGGATGGAAGACCTCAAGCAATGCAAGCAGCTCGTTAAACGTCTAAAGGCTATGGCCGAAATTAATGTAGACTTTTTGGTTCGAGAGCAGCGTGCCTTTGTTTTGGACATGAAGGATCCATTCGTCTCCTTGTTTCAGGGAAACGGAATGAAAGCAGTGGAATTGAAATCTGCCCAAAAACTCGTTACACTTTGTGCCACCCTCAACGAATACCCTTACATTCGCTACAAGCAGAATTCAAATATTTGCAGTGGTATAGCGTCGATATTCAAAATGAAAATGGACGAATTTGTTGGCAACAACCCCGGGTGGTGGTATCACGGGAGCGGAAACTGCCCATCGAGAAACTCGGAGAGAGACCGATCCACCTTGCTACTCTTGGATCGTTCGAACGATTGTTTGACCCCGTTAATGCACGATTTCAACTACCAAGCCATGGTTAATGACCTGCTACACGTGGAGGGTGACAAAATCACCTACAAAGCAGATTCAAAAGAAAACCCGAAGAAAAAGGAGGAAAAGGACGTCTTGCTCAACGAGAAGGACAAGTTGTGGGTCGAATTGAGAGGAGATCACGTGGCGAAGGTCATCGAAATCTTGACGAACCGAATCTCAGAAATTCAAAATTCTTCGACTAGCATGGTAGCTCGTAAGGATAAAAAGTCATCGAATATGACGCTTGCTCAACTCGCATCAGCCTTGAAAGACCTCCCTGAATACCAAGAGGTGACAGCAAAGTTGTACCAGCACATGCATCTCGCACACGAATGCATGGATGAGTTTAAGAAAGCTGGTTTGTTGGAACTAAGCGATTTGGAACAAACGTTAGCCACTGGCAAGGACGAAGACGATCGCAACACGAAGCTTAGTGATACGATCAGCAGGTGCGAGGCTGACCTCATCAGGATTCGAGAGCCAACAGACAGGCTTCGTTTGGTTCTGATTGCTATAATCAGCCAGAACGGGTTGACCAGCGGGGACAAGGAGCGCCTGCTCCGCGCGGCCCAGCTTGGCCGACCGGAGCTGCAAACCCTGGAGAGTCTTCGCAAGATCGGTATCAAAACGATGAACAATAATCCGGGATCATCATCAAACGAGAAAAAGGGTGGCTTTCTAGGGTAAGTGTTGCGTTGCCACGTGGGTCAATTTTCACCATGCTCTTGTACGAAAGAATTGTGCTTGTGCGTCCGTGTTTGTGTTAATGTTTGTTCTCACCAGTTACCTATCTTTCGTGTTTTTTCGTTTCGTCAGAGGTTTACGAAATAGATCTTCGTCCATCGACTCTGATGCGGACAACGAGTACACAAGCAGTCGTTATACGCCGCCTCTCAAGAGAATCTTGAAAGATTTGGTTACCAACCAGCTTAGTACCCAGGAGTACCCGAGTGTTATTCCCATGCCGTTAGCCTCCAATTCCTCATCAGGTTTGGCTAGCAGCGCACGGCGTCGTGGAAAGGCCGAGAGCGGTGGCAAGAGAAAAGGTGGGACCGACAAGTGGGGCAAGAAAACATCGAAAGATAGCGGCCCTTCCCATTACGAGGGAGGACGAAACATTCTGTTCATGGTCGGTGGTCTCTCGTACGCAGAATTACGTGTGGCTAGAAATATCATGGAAAAAGAGTCAAGAGAGATTATTGCCGGTGCCACAAAGTTTATTAGTCCGGATCAATTCATCGACGATCTGAAAACGCTTGTAGATTAGGTTATACAATTATATTTATGAACGAAGTTGTTACGTGAAGACTGGAACACAAGGTTCCTGCAAAAGTTTTCGCTGGATGAAGGAATAAACTCTTCCGAAGAATAATTCTATTTTGACGGGAGTGATCAAAACAAACTAGGAAGCACATGGCGAGTGGGTCTGTATGGTTGTAATAATATCTGTCTAATGAAAAAATGTCTTGAAGGTTGTCATTACAATGTTAATTCTTTATTTGAACAACAGATAATAGCCTTTAGAATTAGAATCGGCTGTCGACAGCGATGTTATCCCTACGATGTGAATTCCGTCAAATGGGTGTCTTGTGATTGCTTGTGATTGCTCATGGTTCATTTTGCAGTGCGTGAGTGCACTTTTTGTGAATAAATTATTATACTGTAGTGAGAAGTATCTGCAAAGATGTTTTGATAAGTAATGCAGTTCGACCAAGTTAGTAGTAGTAACGAGCATTGAACACATATTATTCACAGACTAGTAATACTTGTAGAATTCATAAAACTGCTACCATTACCGATTGTACCTCTGCCACATCTCCTAGGGAGGAGGTGCCACCCCTTGGACCAAATAGTATGAGCATTCTTCTCCTCGGAAGTTATGGTCCTCCTGGCCCTCCTGCAAGCGCCTCTTCTTCTAGTTCACAAGGTGAAATATAAGTCTGTCGCTACTATGAACCAGTAGTGCAAGAACTAGTAGTATCATAACCCTACTAGTAGTACTGGTACTACTTGCACTATGCTACTATTACTACACCACCACAAAGAAATATCAACTAAAATGTAAACCCTGTAGAATATGGTACATTACATAAGTAGGTCTTGATGACAGTGCTCACCAAGACTGAGCTGAATGATGAGTATTAGCAAACAATTGAGCAGAAGTACTCACATAATCATGCATGAGGCAATTTCCATCCAATAAACAAGCATGTTGCGATTGTAAATCTCAACAACAATGATACTGCTGGTGGCGGAGTAAGAAGCTAGTATATTAACATTGGCCCTCTTGTTGCACTATTTCAAAGTTTTTTGATTTGATTAGGGGGGAAAGAAGTGGTTAGAACAATACACAAAACATGCAACAAGAGACAAAGGACAAGTATATAATGGCAACTACTGCTGTTGATTACTGCAACTTCCTGAGGGCTTCAAAGCATGAAGTGGCCTCCATTAGCTTCATGGAGAGCCATAGCCCTGAGAAAATTAGACAACCTCCTTGCTGGACCCTCATACACTGCAACAATCTTACAACAAACTGCTGTGTTTGAATCCGTACCAGCATAGAAGATCAGGCACTCACAGCTGTCCCAGAACTTCTTCCTCTTGCAATACTTGCTATTCATCCTGCCTTACTCAGCAACTTTAAAGTCATTTGGAGCCTTGTTGTTCACCCCTACTTCTACTTCCCATTCAATTGAGAGGACATAAAGTTAATCAGGTTTGCTGGGCCATCACTGGCACCAGCTGTTGTAGCAGCATTGCCTGCTTCAGTTTGGTGCTACTAGTGTTACTGAGGAAACAATCCACTTGTCCTTCACTCCAGTCCCCTGCACTGGCTTAAAGTAACGGATTTCTCCTCTAAAGTAGAGCTTTGATTCAATATTAATATCCAATCAAGGAAGCCACTCATCAGTGCATTGATCCTGCTGTTGGTGACACCTTGATTTACGCCTTGTGCTATAATCAACATCATCCCTTGCCCCACCACATTGCCTTGCTTAAGTTGTGGCAAACTTCCAAATGGAATGGCGTCCAAGCTTTGCTTTCCACAGCAGAAACAATCAATCTTTGACCAGTATTTCCTTCAGTGAATAGCCACTGGCTTGCAGGCCAGAACCATTCTTGCACCATTTCTCAAGGAATAGAGCAAACACAAGCACCACACAAGACCTGTGCTCCATAGATTAGAGCAAGATCTGCGTTGGTCAATTGCGTTCCTCCCTTACATTCTACGACAACTTTGTCTTTCTTGCAGTGAGAAACCTGAGGAATTCAAATTGATCTTTCCAAGCCATGAGCAGTGTCATCATTTTGCCCAATTAAATGAAACTTGGACAAAATCATCATTAGATGTCAAAGGTGGTTCACTAGTAGCATTCCATGGTTCCCATCTGGAAAACCTCATTCTTACTAATTAGCAGTCAATCCTAAAACAACAAGTTTTGTTCTTGATAACAGCCAACATTCATCTACTTGCTGTGACTATGTGAGATTGTCTCTGCCAATCCTATCAATAACACCAGTCCATTTGTGTAATTTCTTACTTGGCATGTAATAGTAGGAGAGGGATTTCTTGCAGCAGATGAGGGATCAAGAAGTTTGACCTTCAGTAGGATTAGTGTCAACATCTGGATTGACTTGCCTGCACACCTTCTTTGCAAAGAACTTGTAGGTAGTATCATCTGGTTTTAGAAAGCTCAGCTGCTTGGTCTCTGTAGAATGAGTATCACTGGGGAATTAATGATCAGCATTGATCCATCAGCTCTTAAAGAATAATATGATATCTATTCTATCAACCTGGTGGTTTGTTCATGTCATGCAGAGGCAGCATGGTGAGCCTCCCATGTCTCTTTGTTTCCAAGAAAGAATACCTTGCTCTTGTTGTCGGGGTGCTCTTTACGCTCCTTTATTGCTTGCTTTCAACCCCAACCCCAATTTTGTGAACAGTTTGAAATAGTTTTATGCAGAATACAGACTGTTCTATACTTTACCACTGCAAGAGTGGATCTGAAAGAGTCAGTGGTCGCAAAATTGGTTGAATTCAACCCTTAAATTCAATGGATTTGGGGAACTGAGATGTCAACCCCTACTACTTCAGCTGTGCTGCTAATGAAATCAAATACAGCAGACCCAAATCACATAGTGCAGATTTTTGCATACTTACTATTCTACAGGTGTAGTATGGTTGCTACTCCACAATACCTCCTTGGAGTGAGGTACTGTCCCTTGGAGCAGCTAGGAGCATTCTTCTCCCCAGAAGTTACAGTTCTGGCCAACATAGTGCCTCTTCTAGTTCACAAGGTTAAATATAAAATCTTTTAAAGTCTACAGGTGTAGTAGTAGGAATTTGAACACTGAACCACTTTGAGAATTCTTGGGTGCAAGAATGTCAGTAGTAGTTTCTTGGCCCTCTTGAACCCATGTGGTGCACAGCACCCCCCTATTTCCCTCCCCTACTAGAAATATGTGGGTTATTCCTGGTGTACAATAACCCACATTTTTAGAAAGCATTTTTTTAATGAAGAATAAACCATGCTTGAGAATATGTTTTTTTGGTGAAGAATAACCAACAAATAAGGCACAATCCCACAAAAAACCCATGCCTTCTTGGGGAAGAGCCCAGCCCTGCCTAGGTAAGAGTCATTTTGGTGGAAAGAGAACCAAGATTTTTAAGTGCCCAACAGATTTGTCTTTTTTTAGGGTTAATTTGGGGGGTATTCAAAATAAAAAAAGCATGTTACTTAAAGTATTTTTTTGGTGAAAAATGACCCTAGAGACCTGGGCCTTGTTGGTTGTATTTGCACTAGTACAGTAGTACCAGTCAAAAGTCCATATGACTTGAAGTTTGGCCATCCAGTACTGTAACTTTGTCAGAGTATGTCATATAGTTCTAAGGCTCTAGAGCATCCTTTGGCTTCCTAATGACAGCAACCTTTGGGTAACTGTATGATCAACTTGAACTGGGCGCTTAGTGGTCTAGAGTTGTTTTTTGATAAAGCTCTTGCCTACTTTGTAGCACAGCCAGTCTCTGGAAACAGCAAAATTGGATGACACTGGCTGTTAATGGACAATCAGGTCCTCCTGATGTGTAATGACACATGGCACTCTTTCTAACACAACTAGTACTAGTACTAGTAGTACTTTTAGCAGCAGCAGTAGTATTGGCAACAAGCTTGTTGTTTTCCCCAAAGACCAGCTGCTCTTGGGCCATACCAGGGCAGTTCTAATTGTCCTCTTACACTGTTTCTAGTACTAGTACTATCTGTCAAAAGAAACATCTATATGGTGAAGATCTATGTAGGATCTGGTACTCCAAAGAAAAATACCAGGCTTCAAAATTAACCTTTTTTACTAGTAATAATTTTTTGCCTCAAGTAGTAGAATTATTTTTTCCCATGTAGGGTGTGGTAACTTTTTTAACAGTTTACGCATTCTATTGCTGTTTAACTGGTACTTGTATGAAGAACTTCATGGTGCTTTTTGGATTTGGGATGAGCTGGTGGTGTGTTCTTCCTCTAATTTGCTTTACAATATGGTATTACTACTGGAGCTACTAAAGACAAGCCCCATGCTTGCAAGTAATTGACAATATAACAGCTGTCTATAATTTCATTTTCCTTCTCTCTCATTTTGAAGTATTGCTACTGGATAGCACTATTCGTACTACTAGAGCTAGTGAGAAATTATGCAATCATTTTTTTTGGGTCTGGTGTATTACAGTTTTTGACATTTTTTCAAACAGGGCCCTCTACTATTACTAGTTTTTGAGGAAGACAAATGTCAACCAAGATCAGGGTTTTCCAATATTTTTTTCATGTTTAAACAAAGAGAACCAAAGAGATTATTCCCACCAGGCAATTATTATCTTTTTTTCTCTTTGTAAAAATATCAACAAATCAAAGAGAAAGAAGAAAGAGAGGCATTACTATTCTCTTTGTTTAAACATTGAGAAACAAAGATGATATTGCTCAGGCAATATTCTGTTTGTTTCTTGTCTTTGTATGAATGGGAATTCCCCCCATCATTTCACCATGTAAAAACAAAGAGAATGGTGCCCAGATTATATTCACTCTTGTTGTTCTTCAACAAGAAAGAGAAACAACGAGAACATTGCCCAGGTCCTTGTGTTTCTCTTTATTTAAACAATGGTGGGAAACAAGAAAGAGAGGCAATATTCTCTTGGTTTCTCATTATTAGAACAATGAGAAACAATGAGAATATTGAATATTGCCTTTAAACAATGAGAAAAAATTCTCTTTGTTTCTCCTTCTTGTTTCGTGGGGTGTACAGAAAACTGTTCTATTTTTCAAAAATTACAGATTCAGCAGGGCCCTGTAAAAATGAGCTAAAAATTTCTATTAGTGTTTGTATGGGAAATTGCGAGTACCTCGTATCTTCTTGCCGGCATGGGGTTTGCCTTTGGTAGCATCTCGGCCCAAAAAAGACCGCGAATCGCG